CCTCGAAGCAATCCCTTATGCATGAGTTCATTGGCGGCCAATGGCACGTTGTTTAGCGCAACAAACGTCCCCATGCCGCTCCACACGTCGGCTTCGACTGCCGCCTTGAATGGCGGCATAAAGTAGTTGAGAATTTCGTAGGAGCTCAGTTCCGAGTTGTCCCGGTCAAGACCGGTCGTTGGGTCCGAGTACGAGATGAAGTGCTTGAAGCACGCCGCAACCCGTTGCTTTTGAATGCTTTCGATGACGGCCTTGCCCATTTTCGCGACAACAGTCGGGTCTTCACCAAATGTTTCGTACACACGTGGCCAGTGCTTGTGGCGCGTGACGTCCAGCGTCGGCCCAAACATCCATGGGATGCCCGCCGCTTTCGTGTCGCGGGCCATGTATTTGCCAAGGCCTTCGGCCAAAGTCGGGTTGAACGCGGCGGCCGTGTTGATGCTCTGGGGAAAGAGCACCGACCCGTCGACGTATGTGGCGCCGTGGACCGAATCGATTCCAAACATCATGGGCACCTTGTTTCGTTTCATGTGAATGTCTTGCATCTCGGTCAGCTTGGCGCGCCATTCTTCCGTGTTGGCTGTCACACGATTTCCCTTCCACCCCATCCCAATGAAGTTAAAGTACGATCCAACGTTGAGCTGGGCAAATTCGTCGACTTTGGCCGCAGTGTTGGCTACGCTGAGGTCGATTTGGGTCATCTCGCCAAGGATTTGCTCCAGCGACTACAGAGTAGAGGGAACGAAGGTTACGATTTTGGCTACGAGCATCGGCACTGTACCATTTTGTCCACAATTGCCTTGGCTTGGGCATCTAGCTGGGTCTCTGTCAGCTGCCGATCCGCCGCCGCCCCTGCTGCGGCCACCAGCACCGCGAGGCTGTTGTGTATCGGTCGCATGAAATCGAACTGTTGACACACATGCACATGCCGAAGCACGACATCAGGATAGTGGGATCATACTCGGTAGTGGTCAGGGCAATGGATGCTCATCACATGATGCACAAGGTCGTCATGCATTTCAAACCTTTTTTCCTTGATGAGCAAGTGTACTTTGCAGCGACGTCCTTTGGAATCGTACATGTACATTGTGAAGCTCTCGCCACAACAGCCAGCAATTGCACGGATCGAGGCCACTTCATACAGCGCAGACCACTGGGCTGTGCAAGAACGCGAAGCAGCGCATGGAATTGCCTTCGCAGGCGCATGTAGTTGACAACTCCCTGGAGGCTTCCTTTGCAGGTTGAGCATGGCACGACGTGTCCTTCCAAGTGGAAGAGCGACATTGCACATCGTTCCAGGACAGTGCGGTTCTGTGGACGAGATTTTGAGGAACGTAATGCCTCGAATCCTGTACGGAGCAGTACAGAGAGATGATCAGATATTACTGCGCCGTGAAGGTGCTTAGCCAAGTCACAACATTGCTGCGACAGTGTGCATTGCCACTTCCATCTTGACTGCTGTGGTGCCCTTGTGGCGAAATGGCAAATTGGATCAACACTGCTGTCATCTGCCCACTTTTCGCCGCCTCACGTTGAGGTACAGGCCCCCGTAATGGCCTTGCCGGCGGCGTGTCTGAACGGGGGATGTGAAATGGGTCTGGAATTGGAAGTGGTTCAGATCGAACAGTGATATTATCGTATTCTGTGCCTGGCGCGCGATACAAACGGGCCGGTAGACCGTTCGGCTTTGGTATGTCGAGCCGTTGGCATTGTCGATGATATTGCACCGTTCAGTTCAGTCGTGTATGCGCATGTCGAACCTTTATTTGCTGTCAACGAGCATCCTATATCGCTCTTGGCGCTTCTTCTTGCTCAAGTCCAAGATAAGCCCTTGTTTTGCTCGGTACGCCAACGTCGACTGCTCGACTCGTAGCTCCCGCGTCGTCAATTCCCACGTCCGAAATGCCGAGTACAGTGTTTGCTCGGTCATTCCATTTACAAATCGCCGAATGATGCGACCTTGAAGCACCTTTTGAGACTGCCGATGCCAGTGTTCCATCGCCGCACCGAGTCGAATCGTCACAATGCGCGTGGCCTACGCAAGCAGACCATCAGGCACGTCAGCATCGCCGCGGTGTATCTCTGTTGAGCGGCACGATCGTCCCGGGACGCACCATTTGCTTGGTCCGTGCTTGAACTTCCTTTTGACTGTCATTCATCATATACTCCAGCGCGTAATTGGCCACCCCCAGCACGTTCTCGCTTTTCATAAAGTTGTACATGTCGAGCAGACCTAGATCGTTCACATGTTCGTGTGACGATTGCCACGAAAATGTGGCGCGAGACAGCTACGTCACGACGGCCGAGGGGGCGGCGAACATACTTTGTCGGCGGTGATCGTGTAAATCCATTTCGTTCCGGACTTCTTCCCCGATCGCGGTCGCAGCCAGGCGAGCAATCAACTGGGTTTCCTTCTCGATCGCTTCTTCGAGTGAGTTGAGTTTCAAGATGAACGTGATCTTGGACTGGACAAGGCAGTCGACAATGTGGTACTTTTGTCCGCGGGCTTGGTTGGGTTCTACGGGCATCCGTCTCTCGGTCTCGTCCGAGACGACAACGCAGCACGCCACGTAGTACCATAGTCACAAGCAACGTTGCCAAGCGTCAAGCAAGCCCAGTACAGCACTTGGGGATGATACGGAAATGCCACGAGCACCTTGGACATGACCTTGATGCCCATATTGACGCCCATGTGTTGCTGGGCTGGCCCTGAACAAGAGAGTTGTCCACGACAAGAACGAATCTACCGTTGTCGTACGAAAGTTTTGGCACAGCGCTGCCAGCAAGTAACACGCTTCGCGGACGAGTCCTTCGCTCGTCAAGTTGGCCTCCATGAGCTCGAGGACGGTTGGGATGCCTTGAATGGCCATGAAGATCTGTTTCCCCGACTCTATTCCCACATCCATGGCATGCATGCAGGAGCGCTCGACGATGGACGTTGGATGCACGTACCATTGTCCTTGACCAAATAGCCGACAAGCCCCAGAGTCTTTTCCAGCACGGTAGGAACGGACGAAAAGTGGGGAAAGATGCGAGCAATCCACTCAAACGTCGGCATGTCGACCTGGCAAGTCCGCCATCGAACCCATCCCACCGTACAGCTCAGCACCGTACCATTCGATCGCGGAATTCTGTCCGAAATTGACAGCACTGCCCCATGACATCGAGGCAGTCAAGAACGTGGTCGTCGAGGTGGTGGAATTTGTCTATCGATTGACGCAGCGTGTTGGCTGCGTGGCACGCAATGACCTGAGGCTCCATTGCGGACCATTCTACGTATCCATCAGACCAAGACAACCGAGGATACAAACCGAAAAAGGTCAGGTCGGTGTCGTCTACAGCATGGATCGAATGTTTAGAAGGACGT